TTTCACATCTAAATAAAATGGAGACCAACCTTTCTTGCATGCCAAGGTTACCACTAGTGAAACACTCTCCAATCTTACTACTGGAGAAAATACTTCAAAGTAGTCGAGTCCTACTCTTTGAATAAAATCTTGAGCTGTTAATCTTGCTTTATGTCTTGCTATCGATCCATCAGCATTGTGTTTCAAATTGAACACCAACTTTACTTCGATAGCTTTTGTATGTGCTCGCAATTCGACTAAATTCCATGTGTTTTTTCTTTCAATTGCATGTGACTTTTAGACCATAGCAGACTTCCCCTTTTAATCTTCAAAGCCTCAATATAGTTGATTGGTTCAACACATGCAAGTAAAGAAAAATGAACTAATTCTCCATCTGGTGTGACTTCATCATCACCAACCACTTCATAGTTTTAAAGTCTTGCTAGAATAACTCTAGTTCTTTAAGGTCTTTGACTTGTGCTATCCACACCCTCTTCGACTTTGACATTGTCAAGAATTTCAGTAATTACTTTGATTTCGATTGGAATATCGACAATTTCTTCGACTTCGACTTCATCAGTTTCTTCATTGAATCTATAGCTCATCAATGGCTTGTTAATTGCATCATCGGAATTTCAATCCCATGTAGAATTTTCATGAATCACAATATCACAATTTAACACAATCTTCTCATTAATTGGATTGAAAAGCCTGTATGCACCAATCTTATGATATCCTACCAGAATTATAGGGTCACTCTTGTCATCAAGCTTCCTTTTTCTCGCATTAAGAACATGCTTGTAACATATAGAGTCAAACACCTTCAGATGACTCACTGATGGTCATTTGCCACTCCATACTTCTTCAGGAACCTTATTCTTCAATTTCTTGGTAGGGCACATGTTAAGGATATAAACTACAGTCGAAACAACTTTACCACATAAGGATTATGGAAAATTCTTCTGCTTTAGCATGCATCTTGCCATATCCAATATAGTCATGTTTCCTCTTTCTGCAATTCCATTATGTTAAGGCGTATAAGGATCAGTTACCTCATGATCGATACCATGTTCTGATCTTCAAACATCTTGGATGTGTATTCACCACCTCCATCTGTTCGTAGAACTTTGATGTTATTCTCACTCTATTTTTTTACAAGTATCTTGAATCTCTTAAAGATTTCAAATACTTCATCATTTCACTTGATCACATAGATCTAGAGCTTTCGATTCTACTCATCGGAAAACAAAACAAAACACTTGTTACCACCAATGGTTGCTCTTCGAATGGGCCACATACATTTCAATGTACAACTTTGAGTATGCAAGATGATCTAATTGGCATAGTCGAAACAAAAGAATTTATGAATTGTTTTCCGACTAAATAAACTTCACAGAGTTTGTCGGGCATCACAAGACATGGGATACCATTTACCATATCTTAAGTAATCAGCTGATTGAGTGGTCTAAAGTTCAAATGTCCAAACCTCAAATACCACAACCAACTATCTTTGTGTCGATAATAGATTTTAGACATTGTACTTCAGTCGAGATGATCATGGTCTTAAACGTCCTATTCTTTGATAGGGGAGATTTTTAAGACCAAATTTTTCTGGGTGTCGAACAATTTTAAAGCTCCATTTTTATGACAAATGAGAAACCTTTTTCGACCAGTTGTCCAACACTTAACAAGTTTCACTTAATTCCAGGTACATAGAGTACATCTTTGATCATAGTTTCCCCTTCATTACTCATCTGAAAAACTATGTTTCCAGTACCTTCTACTTACAACGAACTATTATCAACAAGTTTTACCCCGCTCTTCTTCGAATTGTCGAAATCTGCCAACCACAACTTTTGACCAGTCATGTGATTCGAATAGCTTGATTCGAGTAATCAGATCTTGGAATAGACATGGTTATCTGAAATTGCAGTCATAACCACCATACCTTTAGAATCATCTGAGTCTTGACGTGCAAGGTTCACTCCTTCGTCCCTATCTTTTATTGATCCCTTGTCTTTATTATATAAACAATGCTTGGCTAAGTGACCCTATTTTTCACAATTGTAGCACTACACACCTTTTTTATCTTCTTTGTCCTTTTGATAGTTCCTCCTTCTCTTTTTGAAAATTTAGAAGCCCTATCATCGACACGATGCTTATGAGGGTTTGACCAAGACTTATTGCTCTGAGTCTTGTCGACTTTTCCTTTTAATTTATTGGAATCACCATTCCTTTTCTATGACTGAGCCTGCAAAGCTTGTATTAAATCTTGAACTAATTTCCTTTCGACAATCCTAATCTCACGCGCTTCCAACGAACCAACCAAATCTTCCAATTTTAGGGTTTCAAGTTGGTTGGACTCTTGAATAGTTACGATAATATGATTAAAGTGAGAGGTCAACGTACACATTACCTTTTCAACTATCATCTTATCAGTTAGGGTTTCACCATAATCCTTCATGAGATGGACGAGTTTATGTACCTTCGACACATACTCTGTAATCTTTTCGTCTTCTTCCATCGACAACAATTCATATTGTCAACGCAAGGTCTGCAACTTGACAACTTTGACTTTCTCACCTCTTTCATAGTACTTGACAAGAATATCCCATGTCTCATTCGACGATTTAGCATGAAAGATCCTATTGAAATTCACCACATTGGTCGTCGTTTGAATGCAATACACATTATTGCAATCCTTCTTAGTGGCTTCGTTGTGAGGAGTTCTCTGTGTGTCAGTTGCATCCGCAGCCACTACAGGAACGCCATTAGTAACCACTTCTAGGTGTTCATGAAAGTCAATCAAAGATTGTATCTGTTTTCTCCATCGAATCCAATTCTTGTAGTCAAGAGTTGGAAAAGAATTCAGAATGTCATTAGTATCATTCATCTTCACAACAATTTATTGACAATAACCCACAATCTCGAAAATGCGATCTCTGACGTGAAATTCTTGAAAATACAATCAAGAATTTAACCGAAATTTTAGATACCAATTTATTAATGCGTGAGACACCTTTAATAAGAAGAGAAAGAAAGGTAATAAAGAAATAAAAAGTGTATTATTGAATTTCATTTTGAAAAAGTTAAAAGAGAATATTATTAAAGGACCCTAGCATGAGAAATGCTACATCCAAGCAGTACATTACATGACAGAAACCAGACTACTGCTAAACCAAAATCTGAAATTCTGCTACACCAATTCTGATATAAATCCTAGAACAGGATAAATTATAATACAAAATATAACTATTTATATACATCTAACTTATACACTAAATAGATTATCAAATCCTAATTAAATTTGTGCTTAAGTTATATAATTTAGATTAGATCTAATATCTCAACCGCCCCAACTCAACCCTACCAAATATTTTAACAATTTTTTATCTTAAAAAACTTACTCTTTGACTGTTGAAAATCCCCTCCATTTGAGGGTTGTTGTACAATTGAATGCACAGAAACGCAAATAAATTCTTAGTGGCTCCTGCATAGCTCCACATGGGAGAGAGGACCACCGAAAAAAAAGGGTGCCAGAGAAGTGAAAGGGTCCATGTCCTTATTTTTGCTAGGAAACGATTGGACCATATTCATGGTACATGTTTGGGAGAGTAAAGAAAGGCATATGCATTGTTAGGAGGTGATAATGCATCCCTTCTTTATTTATGATGAATTCTCAGATATGCATTTATTTTGCTTATGTAGATATGAATAGCAAGCACATAAAGACCTGGCTCATAGTTAATGCTTATGACAGTATCATGTGTTTTCTTCAAGATGTGGTTGGCATGTATTATTGTTCTCTTGATTTTGACTATTATTTTTTCTGCTTTTGAGTGGATTCAAAATGGAAAAACATAATCACCCTTTCTAGTCTTTGTGGAAAATTGACTCAAAAGGTGGTGTATTTATACTGGTCCCCTCATTCAATGGTGGAAATTGTATCTAAACCCAGAATGTGCTCATATAAAGTTGTTGGAATATTTAGTACAAGTAATAATTTTGAGAAAGATATAAGTGAATACACTCATATATTGATCAATGTGACAATGTCTTAACATATGTCCCAAATCTAATTACATGTTTTTTGTAAGCTAATTGCATATGTTATGAGTTGCACATTCACAATGTTAAAAAGTGAGTGTAATTTTTATCCTACAAATTGATTAAATTAAATTAAATTATATTCAATCATATTTTTTAAGATAGTATCGGATTCGCTATTAAGTTTCAACTATCAAATTACCTATTATTTATTTCAACACCCTAGATATTCAATCCTAAACATAAAAGAGTGCGTTAAAAATCTCATATCAAAATAATATATAAGCTGAATCATATAAAAGAGTGGAGAAAATCTTTATTCAATAAGTTAATTTTATAAAGTTGAATTAGACTAATCAACTTTTTTTAACATATATTAAAATTTAATTTAAAGATCTGTGGTAAAATTTCAGTTATTAAATCATCCATCATTTATTTTCTTACTCCAACTCTAAATGTAAAAATGTGTTTTAAAAATCACACATAAAAAGCGTCACAAAAAAGTGTTAAAAGTCTCTCATCATTTTTTAAAATTGAGTTAAATCTACTCATATTTCTTAATTTATTTTTAACCGATAAGTTGTAAAATTAAAAACATTCAAGCATGAAGTGATAATATTTAAATCAAACACTTTGAATTGATGTCTAGAGTAATAATGGAATCACTATCCAAATCTTGTACTATTACAATAGGATAGAAAACTCACATGCATAACATAAACATTTATGTAGATCCAATTTAATCTATGCACGAAACATAAATTCTTTCATTCAAAGCCCTTAATATGATGCTATGCACGTGCATTGAAATGCATTAGCTCCTTTCAACTTTACCGCTACAATATATCATATTACATATAAAAGAAATTCACACTTCATTTTCATTACTTCATAATAGCTTGTGGAATTGTAGTATATTAAGACGAACGGGTAATTCACTTATTTCGGGTCTTGGTTCAATTCAACCCACATTATTAACAAGTCTTCAATGGGTTTCCACACAGACAATCATTGTTATTAAACGACGACGCTTCAATATGATCAAAGGTTGAACCCAAACCCAATGGTATAGGTCCACACAAATGGTTATGGCTAAGATCAAAATGCCCGATATATTTCGACGACGATAACGAACCGGGTACCCGCCCGTTCAAATTGTTAAACGACATATCCAAAACCATAAAATAGGATTTCGGGCAGAAAACATCGGGTATGGTACCCGAAAACCCGTTATGACTTAGGTTTACTATACCCAAACCCGAGTTACTTAACAAACTCGAAGGTATTTGACCCGAAAGTAAATTACTATCCAAATTTAAAGTTGATAGAACCGGCATTTTGCCGAGTTCGGCAGGAACTGAACCGGTTAACCGGTTCGTCGACAAATCCAAATCAGCGAGCCGGTAGATTTTTGAAATTGAAACCGGAATTGAACCGCTGAGTCGGTTCCGGCTCAGCAATGCGCGGCTTAGCATTTGGAGTTTTCCGAAGTTAGCGGGAATTGTTCCGGTGAGAACGTTGTTGCTTAAATCGAGATGTTTGAGAGAAGTGAGATCGACAATCGAGGACGGAATCTCGCCCGAGATTGAATTATCGGCGAGGTTAAGAACGGTGAGGCGTTGTAGTTTTCCGATGTCGGAAGGAATTTTGCCGGTGAGTTTGTTTCCGATTACGTCAAGGATGCGGAGGTTAGAGAGGGAGGTTACACATTGAGGAACCTCTCCGGAAATGGATTTCCAGTCGGCGACGACAAGAGTGGTGAGGCGGTCGATCTTGCAGATCTCCGGTGATATTTTTCCGGTCATGTAGCCGGAGCGTCCGGATAAGATTGGATCCTCTGACTCGCCACGGAGGTTGATGTCAGTGACACGGCCGGTGGTGGAGTCGCAGCTGACGCCGTACCAGTTACCGCAACAGTTTTCGCCGGACCATGAGTTGAAGATGCCGTGGTTGGGCTCCTTGAGTGCCGCCTTGAAGGCTAAGAGTGATGATCTGTCAGACGGAGAACAACCGTTCACGGCGATTATGACGGTGGTGATGAAAACGGTTACGGTTATTATGAAAGAAGAAGCCATGGGGTTTAGGGAGTGTTGTTTATTGGTTCAGTGTTATTAGTTTGCATGGGTTTTATATATGTGTTGAGTGACGAAATTACCCTTTGTGTGGAACTATTATTACACTGTGCCACTATGTGTAGCTCTATTTTACGAATTGAGATCTTTCCATTTTCAAAACATTTTTTAAAAGAAAGAAATAGAAACCACAATTATTAATATATTAATGCACATGTTCTTAAAATATATGATATATATTTTATATAATTTGATTGTATACGATCAAAATAATAATAGTAGCATTTTTTTTTTTTTGAAAAATGGAGAGATCCTTACTCGTGTTTTACTGTCATTAACCATGTGATGTTGCCGATAGTACTTGACTTGGTGGGTCAGCCTTTTTGATATGAATTGAGTAAATGTCCAATTCTGTCCTTGTTTCATTTTTGTGCCTCAATTTTATAAAATGTGCATATCTATTTGTTAACAGAAAGTTATTTAAGTTAACTACTTCATCAATCTTTAAAAGTTTGTTTTATAGAGCGGTCTTAAAATTACATATGAAGTATGAAATTGGCCTCTAAAATTATGCTTTATGAATTTGATCCAATGAAACTACAATTCTAGTGTCGGCCGGTTTGTTATAAAATAATATTTTATAAAAATATTAAGTTGATATTTGTTCTATAGTGAAGTGGTGGAATAAATATTTGGTGCAGTGGAGATTTGGATATTCAAAATTAGCATTTTGACGCTTAATTCGGTGAATAAGAGTAAATTATACTTAGAACTTATTTTAGATATTGTGTGAGATTAATATTTCGTGGTGTGGATTGAATATGGATTTTTTGATATTGGGTCTATTGTACTTTTAACATCTTATAGTTTTGGACTGTTGATTGGACCTCTGGTCGATTCGAAATAGTTTTGCAAAATATCAGATTGGTGTCGTTCTAAGTTGGAGTTTTCATAGCGGGTCCTTTGTTTATAAAAGTGAAAAACATTTAGAAAGCCAGAGTGAGTAACCTTGAGAACAGACACATTAAATGTTAGTTTCATTATTGTGATGTTTTATAGGATTGTCTTTACACATGACCCTAGATCCCTATAGTTGAATGTGACTCTCCCCTCTATAGTGTTATAGTATACTAGAATATTATGGTAATTTCGAGGTAAATTTGACTGTTATTTTTTATTTGTCTATTTTATTTCCTTTTGAGTCGTTGATTTGTCTATCTCACTCTATTATATAAAGGTTTTTATTTTTATTTTTCAAGGAACTTATGGAACGTTTCCAATTTTCGCACAAACGTAACTTCTCTCTTTTCATTGCAAACTCTGATTCTTCTTCCCTGAGCTCCAAAGAATTCTATTTTACATGTTCCTTTCCTTCTTTGAATTTCAAACATCTTTGGTTCATTTCACCTTCAGAGTATCTTTTCGTCGCATACTTCCTTTCAAACTTCAGGTTTTTTCTAAGTACCACTTCTATCTTTGTCATATACAGTTGTCATTTGCTCTCTTTTATTTTAGCCATGGACAATGTAGGAGGTGAGTCGGTGAATGTCATAGAAATACCTAGTGACGATGATATAAAATATGTTATATCTCACACTAGGGTAATAGACAAATAAATGTCAAATATTTCACCTTTGATAATCATTTGTCCCCTTTCAAACCTTATTATTATCAGTGATAGTGTCAGAACTATTGGAGGTTCCCTTAATGGTAGTAGTGAACCCTTGAATCCTCATTTTAATAGAAATATTGACGTCCCTGTAAAAGGAGTATGAGGGATGAACCTGGGTTGTCCCATCAATGGGAAGGCCGATGTTAGTCCCTCATATTCCATGTTGCCTACGAAGGATCTTGAGTTTGTTGAAGCATATCATGATGGTTTTAGGGATTGTACTTTAACTGAAGCTTTTAGATCTTTGAATGATTGAGAACTTAGTGGAAAAAATGTTAGTGCATATCTTAACTTCTGGGGTTATTCCCAAATTTACGAGGAACATTATCATTTTGTTGATAATGAGGTAGATATGGCTCAAAATAACCGCCAATGTCTCATATTTACTATGACCAGTGTTGAACAAGACTGTCCCCCTCTCCTTCTTCTTCTTCTCCTTCAGGATCAGGGTCTTCAGGTCTTGCTAACCCTTAGCTAGACTCATGACCAACTCTTGAAATTGGGCATTCTGGGCCTGGAGGGCCTTGATAGCTTGCTCAGTTGAAGGTTCGGCAGACATGATGATTGCTGAAATAAACAGCGAAGAAGATAAGAGACCTGTAATGGGTACCTGCTTATGGAGTGCATGGGATGAAATGCGTATGATTATGATTTCAAAGACAATTGGGAGATTCAAATTTGTAAACAAGAAAGGAAACACACTTTATTAGATAAACTTTAGAATTCAAATTGTTCAACTGATGCCCTCAGGGAGTTACAAGAATGGAAATACTGAAAAGTAAATAAAAACTGGAAAAGAAAATCATCAAAGTCCCATCAATACTCCCATGGCCTCTTCTTATCAGTGCGGACATAGTTGTTGAGAATCCGCTCGTTCTCTAACTGCCTAGTCAGCTTCTGGATCTTTTGCTCTTGCTCGTTGAACTTCTCTTGGTAAGAATCCCGTTCATCCCTCAGCTACATCCAAGACCTCTTCAGTGCCCCAATATCAGTGGGCATATAAGGATAGAGAATGGTTGGAAGAACCCCCTCTTCATTAGCAACTTCAAGAGTGACAGGCCGGACAACTTCATATGGCATACCTAGCTTCTGGGCACGGATGCAGACCCATCTAAGATATGGCTTCGTTGGCAGAGAAGTCTTTGGGCCCAGCTCATGTGGATCAGATTGGTGAACTCTATCCCAAGCCCTTATGAACCTACGACGTTGTTCGCCGCTATCCCCTTGAAAATCAAAGATGATGTGAGGCATTAACATCTCATGAGGTCCTTCTCTTCTGGCTCTTCCAAACTGACGGAGAGCTAAGCATGGGTTGTAAGAAATTCCTCCATGGGTCCCTATCAATGGAACATTAGGATACTCTCCACAACGATCAATGACAGTCACCTCATCCATACCCTTGAGAGTCCAGATAATGTCATTATGAGAAAGAAACGTCACCCTATAAGCCCAGCCCATTCCTTCTTTGTTCTTCAGTACTGACTTAGGGAGGTGCGAAATAAACCACCTCGACAATAAAGGAGCACAGCACATCAAGGTTCCCCGCTTTTGGGCAGTACGAGCATAGAGCTGATGAAGAATGTCACCCAAGAGAGTGGGTATAGGGTTCTGAGAGATGAAGATCTTTATTGCATTCACATCAACAAAAATGTCAGGATTCGAAAACAATACCAAGCCATAAATCAGAAGAGCCAGAATATCCTCGAACGCCTTAAAGTCTAGGATATCCCAGAAGTAGTTAGCCTTACCAACCAAAAACTTAGTCAGAAAACCCTTAGCTCCACTCCTAGACTCCCAATTAGCCATTACCTCCTCTTTGGTCAAATGAAGGGCTGCAGCAATCTCTTCGGGCTTAAGAGTCTTTTCCCAACCAGTAAACATGGTCTGCTCCAGAACAGAGATATCGAGCAGCTCAGAGAACTCTTATAGGGTAGAAACCAGCTGATAGTCTTGAAAAGTGAAGCAATGGTACAGTGGATCATAGAATTGGACCAGGACACTCATCATCTGCTCGTCCAATTTAGAGGTGACCAAGCTGAGAAGAGAACCATGTCTCCTGATGAAGGAAGTAGTGTCAGGTATCTTGGAAACCAACTCTTTAAGCAAGGTAGGTACTTGGACAAAGTTGATCCGAATGGTATTCTTACGCATGGGCATCATGATGACCTACAAAACAGAACAAAGATGAAACCCTCCTGTCTTTGAAATAGGTTAGTCTTATGCAAAATGTATGCAATGATGTCATGATGTCATGATAAAGGCACACCACAAGTATCCACAAAAAGCAAACATGGTAAAGGCACACAAGTCACACTGAAGAGCCCTTAGATTTCAGGCTGGCATGGAGCTTAGGTACCACCCTCTTTCAGTTCAGTTGGTTTAAACCTGTCCTAAAAATAGTAACCAGGTTCTAGAGGATCTCAATATCACTGACTACCCTCAATCGGTCATAATTCCAGTTCAACAACCTTTTCTTGCGGGCGGAATCATCGCGAGAGTTTAGTCTCAATGAGTGTAGTATACTGCTACTGTTCTATAGACAAGTTGGTCAATTTAAGGTTCTAAGTTCAGTTGGTGCTTAATGACCCCTTAGAAGATCCATATTCTCCTCGTTCCAACACAAGGGATATCAGTACAGACTAAAGTGCCACACCAACGTAGCTACTGCTTCAACCGTGTCGGTCTACGCCAGACAGTTCCCTCACAGTTTATTGCTACTTACCTAAAGGGTACCCCCAGATCCGGGTTAGGATCTATAAAACTCCGATACAAGCCCACAAATGTAAATCATACAAAGAATACAATTGAAAACACAATGATCTAATCCTAAGGTACACCTCACTTATAGATTATCCCTAGCAGAGTCGCCAGTTCTATGATCGGTGGGAATGAGAACTGACTGTTTTGGAATGCTGGTTCGCGTTTTGCGTTTGTTTTTGCAAAATGTCACGGTAAGCAAGAGTCATCACCGTCTTTTATTTTATCCAACAAGGAAAGGACAAAAGCACAGAAAAATTCCTTTTTGAGATATTTCTCGGGTTCAGGAGGTAGATTATAGAAAGGGAAGGTGTTAGCACCCTTTCTATTTGTGGTTATCCACGAGCTCTTAGGTACTTGCTCATTGTGTTTTCAAAAGTTTTCTTTTCTTTGTGTTTGTGGGTTTGAAAGAGTTTTTGTTTTGAAAGGAGTGTAAGTGCGAAAAGTTTTGTTTTGTTTTAAAAGGAGCAAGTATTTAAGAACCATCTACCTACTCAAAAAGGAATTAATTTGTACAAATATCCTTTAGACAATGCTATCCCACTATTGATGAGTAGGTAGCATCATCGTTGGA